ACATCACTGGTGTATAACTTCCCTACCACACTGCCACACTGAATCTTAGTGCTCTGATACATTCTGACCAATTGACAAAAGTGATGCTATCTAACTTCTGTTCCTCTGTGCGTGTGTGTGTGTGTGTGTGTGTGCGTGTGTGTTGTACAATGCTGGAGACTGAACCTAGGGCTGTCACACTGAGCTACATCTCCATATCATTTTTATTTTGAGACAGGTTTTCTCAAGTTGCTATGTTGCCCAGAGGCTGGGCTCAGATTTGCGATCCTCCTGCCTAAGGCTCTCAGAGTGCTGGCAGTATTATAGGCATGCGCCACCACACCTGGCCTAGGACAAGGCTGTAAGAGACGTGCAGCTTCTACTACATTTCTGAAAATGCTCCTCAGAAAACTGCCATTATGCTAGGAAGAAACACAAGGTAGCTATTCATATGGCAAGAAGCTTCACAAAGGAGAACTGCCAAAGAGGCTCTGTGACTATAATGATGGTAACAATTGAACAGAAAGGAGGGCAAGAACATAGGTTTTAAAATTTAGAAAATCAAATTCAAATCCCAGGTCTATTATTTATATAAACTGTGAGCTTGATGTGGCCACTTAATCTTTGAATTAACCTCTCTAACCACCATTTCTCACACAAAATATCTGTTTGAGGAAAAAAAAAAAAAAAAAGGAGAACTGATGTAAAGTGCCAACCCCAGAGATACTAAATAAACATTTTTAAAAACAAAAAGGCTTGAGATTCTCTTTCTCTTCTTCCTTTTCCATCTAACTCTGAGCTTCATAGGACATTTTATACATATATTGAAACATCACACTGTAACCCATAAATATGCACAATTATGTGTCATTTTTTTTTATTTTTTGGTATTAAATTCTTTTATTGGTACATTGTAGGTATACAACACAATTACATTTCTCATTGGGAATTGTACCTTTACATAATGCATCTTGGCTCTTACTTTTTCCCCATTCCTAGCCCTCCCTTCACACCCTCCACCCTTCCCTATTTACAAAGACTTTATTTGCATAATTATGTGTCATTTAAATTTTTTAAATAAATAAAAAAAATCAATAGAAAAGTTTGCTGCTTTCTGTGCCATTAATATTACATTCAAAAAAATTTTTTTTTAAATCTTTTTTTTTTTGATACCTGATATCAAACTCGGTTCCTTGCACTTGCGAGGCAGTCGGCGGAACCACTGAGCTAAGTCCCCGGCCCAATTTTTTTTTCTTTTTTTTGGTACCAGGAATCGAACTTGGGTCCTTGCGCCTGTGCAGCAGGCGGCGAAACCACTGAGCTAAATCCCTGGCCCACATTCAAAATTTTGATGCAACCACTTGTGAAGTAAAGCAGAGTATGCCAAAATATATATTTGTCACATACCTATGTCAATACCACCAAGTATACAACTTGTGCCTGACCCAGAAATGTATTTGAACTCAGCATATGATTTATATCAAACATGAAGAGAATGACATTATATTTGCCTTTGATTAAAATTATAGGTAAAAGTATTTTCATTTCAGTACTAAAACAATATTCTGAATGCTTATGCAGTATCAGTTTCAAATCCCCTTTTACAGAAAATGCTCATTACATCACTGCAGAAGCTGCCCTAACACTTAATAGCTAGCTATGTGTTATCTCTAAGTAATGTGGCACATTATTATATGATTTCAAGTTACCATAAACTTGAGGCGCAAACTGAAGCTTCACCTGTGACTGCTTAACACACTTCAATTATCCTGTACCTTAGTTTTAGCACTTTTCCTGTACCTGTCAGGTGACGCCTACACCACCAATGAGAAAGGATTCCTCTACTTATTACCATTACCTGCTGAGATGGACCATATTTCTCTTTACTTCTGCCAAAGTGGCTGTGCTAGTTTTACCTGAGAGCCATCTCCAATACTCACATGTTTACTGGGCCAGGTTATAATCATAAGCTTTCCAGCACAATTCTTTGAAGCATTGAGCATTCTATTAAAAACTCACTGAAAATTTCCCATAAATTTAAATTGCTGACCAAATTTAATTAAGATGATTTTGGGTCTGGGATTCCAATAAAGCACAATATTTATGTTGCAAAAGATAGGTTAGAGTTTTTGATAAACCAGGTGAGTTTAGACTTCTTAATAAGATAAAGCAGCCACCCAAGGTCATGTGAGTAGCCCAAAATGCCAATGTTAATGGCTTTTCCACTTATATACATCTGCATATATCTGTCATTTATAAAACTGATATGACCTTTTATGGTTTGGACCTTAAATGTCTCCCAAAGGCAGTGAAGTGAATCCCCAAAGGCCATGTGCTGATGGCCTGTGGAGTAAGTCTGTGGTATTACTGGGAGGTGATGGAATCTTTGGGAGGTGGTGCCTAGCAACAGGAAGTTAGGTCACTGAGATGTGCCCTTAAAGGGGATATTAGGACCCTGACCCCCTCTCTGTCTTTGCTTCCTGGCCACTTGGTGGTAAAAAGATTTCTTTTGCCATGCACTCCTTGCCATGATGCTCTGCCTTATCACAGGTCTAGAAATAATGTTGGCAACAACTATAGATCAAAACTTCTGAAACTGTGAGCCAAAGTGAACTTTTCCATCTTTTAAGTTTATCACCTCATGTATTTTGTATTAGTGATAGAAAGCTGGCTGGCACATGTCCCAAATGTACTTTTCTTATTTTATTAATGTAGTAATGTTCGCTCCTAAGGGGACAAATTCATCCTTTGATTGTATGAATAATGATACTGCTAGGCTACAGTTACCCTAACGATGAAATTGACAGAAATTGTGTTTTTAGGGAGTGGTGTTGTAGGGTATTAAGCTAGGTGTAGTGGTGCACACCAGTAGTCCTAGCACTTTGGAAGGCTGAGGGAGAAGGACTGCAAGTTTGAACCCAACCTTGGCAACTTTCAACTTAGTTAAGATCCTGCCTCAGAATGAAAAAGAAAAACTTTAAAAAGGGCTGGAGATGTAGCTCAGTGTGAAGGTATTGGGTTCAATCCCCAGTACCATTAAAAAATAAATAAAGAAAAAAGAAAAAAAAGGTTGGTATAGGGAAGTGCATCCAGGACTTTGTGTATGCTAAGTACACATTCTACCACTAAGTTACATCTCCATTCCTTAGAGAAATTCTTTTCTGTGATTTCTTATATATTTGTCCTTTAAATTAGCATCAGGACAAACCTTGGGTTCAAACTTGTCATCTAGACTAAAGTTAGCTACTACTGTTTAATCCGTAACTGAAGTTTAAATGAGGGATAGCATATAATAATGGTATTACTCAGAACCTTGAAGTATACCTGTAAATAATATATAAAAAGTGTAAGCGAACATGACTTTATGCAGAGTTAAGTCCTAAAAGCTATACTTCTTAAAGAAGTATTAGAAAAAGTCTAATATAGAATTAAGAGCTAATAAATAAGCTATGAAAATATTATATGATATTCTAAAGTTTCTTGGTATATTAAGTACAAAATTCATAAAGATATTAGAATTTTATTTTCTGAAATATCAAAATAGGTATTTCACAAGTTTTAATTATCAAAGGTGAAACAGTATCAGATTAAAGACACTGTAATGATATCTGTGACTAAAGTGGAGGTTACCCTGGAATAAACTAGGGAGAGGTCACTATCTCATTCTTAATCCCATGTCTGCCTGTAAACAGAGGAAGAGGTTTCCTGAGCATTCCCAGCTTGCTGTGTGTTCTCCTCTCACTCCTCATACTCATTTCTTCCTAGACATGGCCACAAGGCATGTCAGGATCTGCTTCCAATTTGTCTCTAAAGCAGGACTTGTTTTCAGATATTTTGCCACATTTGGGGGGGATGGGGGGGGTAAAAACAAGTTTCTCACTAAAGATTCACAATAATTCAAAGTTCACTATACTAGCATCAAAATATTCATATTCTTTATGAAAAGCTTTTAGAAAAAGTGACATGTGATCTGACAGTTTCTTTTTAGAATACCTTACATTTTGACAATTTAATCATCTGTGTGTCTGTGAATCATATCTCAAAAATTAATCATTAAAAACATAATACTTCTCCAAAGCATAAAGAAAATTCAGTAGATTTCCATGTACCTGAGTAAGACACTTATAAAGGTGGTTCCCTGAATTTCCTTAAGAACTATAAAAGTAAATGTGTTCTACCCTCTTCAACTAAATTCTGCCACATCAGCTACAGAAAAAAAAAAATTAACCAGGTTGACAGTATGATTCAAAAAGAATCTTGATATCATGAGTGCTTGTATTAGGCGGATATAAATTATGGTGGGGATATTTGAAATGCAAGATTCCAAGCAGTTTTTGTGAAGAACTGCAGAGTTGGATAGTAAGAGAGGCTTAGCACAAATTTCCAAGGCTTAGAGAATTGCTTACATTTTTCAGATAATTATTGACTGGTTATTGAAAAAAAATGAAACAAAGCTTATCAATTAAAGTAGCTATCAATCTAGGCACTAACAAGACTAAGGTGGATCCAATCAAGACTGCAGCTAACCATCTTATTTAAAAGAAATACTTCCAATTTCAGAAACATCTAATGAATCAATATTTACATAGACACACATAAAGTTTGTATCTATAATTTCCAGGAGTACAGAAGGAATAAGTAAGCTCTATTTAGAAAGCAGTTACAGGCTAGGTATGCTGCTCAATGCTTGGTGAGCGCAAGGTCCTGAGTTCATTTCCCAGTACCAAACGAACAAACAAACGAAATCCAAACTCTTTGAGAAAGATTTTACGTTGACCAAATGCTTTAAAAAATGTTTTAAAAACTAAGATTTTTAGGTCTGGGGACTTAGCTCAGTGGTTCTGCTGCCTGCCTTGTAAGCGCAAGTTTCCGAGTTTGATCTCCGGTATCAAAAAAAAAATTTTTAATCAGGTAGTTTTTCTCCAATGGTTAAAGCAATCAGATCACATAGAAACACAGTTCCTGGAGCAGCAGCAACAATTTATACAATTAATTACATGATTTTCATCAAATGTACTCACCCTCCTAACAGTATCTGTGGTTGGCTAGATTCATTTGTGACACCAAATATATCAGGAATTAAGTCTCCATTGAAGCTAAAACGAAAATATTTAAAACAGTAAGCAGTTATTTTATTAAAGTATCATTTCTAACTTAAAACATACTTTTGGGAAAAATTGTAGACACTATAATGTTCATCAGTATCTAGTGATAGACAATGAACTATCAGCGAAAGTGCATCTGCCACCTCAAAGCCAAAATTTTTAACTTCTGTTACTGGACCCACAGCCCTCACTAAGCCTCACTAAGCCTGCTGTTGTAATGATAAGAAAATGCATACTTACTCCATAATTAGTGGTTGATCTTGAAAAGTCCTATTGAGTATGGTCATATTGTTAGGATCTATAAAGAGAGAATATATATAAATTAGCAGGCCTTTCAGATTATTTTTGATACCTATACTGAGGAAAATATTCTTTTATTCTTTACAAGATTCATATCTAATTTATTTCAACTATTATTAACGAGACACTATCAGTCCAATTTAAAGATAAAATATTGACAGAGTTTATTCTATATTGAAGACCAGCAAGACAAACTCCTTTGGAGGTGTCCATCTAAGTATCATTTGTTTGAGTCTTTTTTCTACACAATTTAGCATTAGAGAAGTTGACAATTAACAAGGTTTTGGTGACATAGAAACCAATATAAGCAAAATTGCTCAACTCTACCACATCCATACTCGTATACAAGAAGCAATTTGTATGTGGTATCCCTTCTTTAAACATTTATTGATGGAATATAAAGTACTGTGATAATTGACTGCATTTCCAAATGTGACCACATAATTGCAACCCCAATGTTCCCTTGAAATCTGGCACTATGAACAGAATTTTCTATTCAGTTATCATTAATTAGCTTTTCAGATAAATCTTATTAAAGATTCAGAGGTGAATATAGCAGACTGATACTCAACTTTTACTTCAAATTTTTGTATTTTTCTGTACTGAGGAGAAATAAAAAATAGCATTTCTCAGATACCTTTGCATCTGAGTTACTAAAGGAAAGACAAGCCTTGCCAACCAGATGCACTGTGAGCTTTGAAATGCACAAATGAGGCAAAGGCTGTGCTTCTGCTATTTCTGAGTCTACTCACTGAACTTCAACACGTTAAGGGGCCAGGTATATTATGCTGGTGAGAAAAAATAGCAGACATAGAATTATCCTGACAGGTGTTGTGCAAATGCCCAGTTCAGATAGTTAAGAGAGACAGTGCCTTCACTGATGTCATTAGAGATTGTTCTTGAAAGCTCAACCTAAGAGTTTCATCTTTCACCATCCCAATAAAGTTATAAGCTGTTAAAACTCTTTAATAGATCTTCCTTCTTTAAACTAACAATAGTACATTTTTTTCCTCTGGAATTGACCTTAGACTGGTTCTGGGCTGAAGAAGAAAGATCAGAAACAAAACTTTTGAAAACTTTTTATGATTACTGATACTTAAGAACAGCATTATGAAGAAGTAATTTCAGAACAATATTTTTGTTATATTTTCCTAAGAATATCAGGCATAATCTACATTTTTCATTAGATAGCTAATAATAAATATTAAAAATGCCTAAAACACATTCACCTAATGTTTGATTTTGTCCCCAGAAGATAACAGCTCCTAATTCACTGCTGGCATGATTTTGGGGAAAATACGTTAGAAGGACATCCATCTGTGAATTGCCATCATAATCCCCAGGGACCACACTTGTTATCAATGTACTGTGATTCCTAAGGGAAAAAAGCATTTAAAAATGATTATATAAGAAAGGACATCACTAAATTTTTACCATACATGTTTTTAATATAAAATGTAATATTTCATAGAACTGGTTAATCTCATTCTCTTCTTTTTATCTTATCACCTTTCATGTATTTGACCACTCTGGTCTCCAAAAAAGAGTTCCAAAGTGAATACAGAAAGGTATACAAAACAAGATACATCTGAAATATATCAAGTAAAAATTGATTTATACTTAAGCATTGGCTAATATGTTTTATCTTTTGTCAAAGATGCACATTTAGACAGTGTTAAGTTATAAAAAATGGGGGTATAATTACTATTCGAGTAGCAAAGAGTATCCCAGATTTTATCAAAGACAAGCTATTATTTATAAAATATTTAATTTATCCTTTAATGTAGACTAAAAATTTACAGTAAATAGTATTTTATTTCTGAAAGCTAGACCAGATTTACAACGGATACTTTTAGAGCTACTCAAACATACATATCTAATTTTACATTTTTAATACAATTCTAAAATTACTTATATTACCCTTGAAAACATCCTAGTGTCTTGTCATAATGGTGCCTGAGTGACTCAACCAAAAAACAGGGCTCACATTCAACTTATATTTAATAATTCTACCTAGAGCAAATAGCAAGACAGTAAACTTTCTCTTAGGTTATGGGTACGTATCTTCTAAATGCAACAGTGATAGTCCCTTATCCTTTTTGCTCAGCAAGACAAGAACCATGTGATTTATTTCTAGAAAGTGTTAGGCATTATGGATTTAAGTAGTAACAGAAGTTAAGGTTTTGGTCTTAAGCTTAAAACAGGGAGTCAATGAAAAGTATAAAAGTATAAAAAATGAACAGTTTGACCCTTGCCTGCACCTAGTTTCCTCAAATGCCAACCAAGTAAGAAAATGATTGTGATTCAAAACAGCAACTTGTGAAGCTAAGACAATAAACCAACTAAAGTATGTAAAGTAGAAAAAGATTCTGGATATGTAGGACCTGTGATGTACCCTTCCTCAGTAATGCCCTGAAGAATGAACTTCAGTTAAGCAACCAGGAAAAACAGAAAAAGGAAAAAAAGCCTCACTCCAGTGTGACTAAGCAGGCCTGTTCCAGATAACCTGACACACCAAGATTACAGCCATCTACTAGCTCCAAGCCAGATCTACATTTTGCTTTCCCTTGGCACAAGGGATGAACCAAGAGGCGAGGATGAACCAACTAACCTGATCCTGGATGAGGACAATGCCCAGGGAGAAAGTGAAGCAACTGGACACTGCAACTGCCTATATTAAGTCCACTTGAACCCATGTCCCTGGGCCAATATCCAGCAGAGAAAATAGGGTTGATTGTGTTGCCCATCTATCAACAGGAGGAAGGAAGGACATGCCTTGGCTTGGAAGGTAACCACAGTCTGAGGTAAATGGACACAGGGGCCTCTGGTGCAGGGAAGAAACATCAAAAACCCACAGACCTATGCTTCACCTGTAATCCCAGCACTCAAGGCAGGAGGATCATACAGAGTTCCAGGCCAGCTTGGGCTACATAGTTCAAGGATAGCCTGAACAACAAAAAGAGACCAGTCTCAAAAAACCAAAAAACCCAGAAAATAAAACAAACTGAGCCAAGAAACCACAGGCCCTCAAGCTAGGCAGAAAAAATCATGACTAGCTGGATCAAAAGACTGCGTATCTTGGAAAGAAACCACTAATTCAAAAACACAGGGATTTTTTTTTTTTTGACTCAATCCTTTTTTTTTGAACTTGGGTCCTTGCGCCTGCGCAGCAGGCGGTGAAACCACTGAGCTAAATCCCCGGCCTGACTCAGTCCTTTTTTGATTTTACTGTTTTTTATTACAGTAAAATCTTGGTTTGTAAGACTAATTTGTTTTGATTGTAATTCAAAGAACTTGTATATCAAAGCAGTGAGAGAGGGACAGAGACAGAGCAAGAGAGAGAAACCAGTTCAGTGTGACATATTAGTATTGCAAGACATCACTCGTTTATCAAGTTAAAATTTCTTAGAAATATTTGCTTGTCTTGCAGAATACCTGCAGATTGAGTTACTTGTCATCCAGTGTTTGACTGTATTTTTATTGCTCCTTCACTGGGTTTGAGATCTTCCCTTATTTTTCCTCTTTCAGTTTATCTCTTTTCTCCTTTCCACTTTTTTCTCTTCCTTATAATCTTTCTTTTATTTTCTATAATTTCTTCTATTTTTTTCTTTTTATTCTTCATTATTTCCTGAAACTGTTTTCTACTATTAATTTCCTTTCACTCTATTATCTTACTTTTCTTTCCTCTAATATCTCACTGATTAAATTTTCAAATTTTGCTTTTTTAAATTCTGTTCTCCACCCCCTCTACCTTTACTAGTACAACTACTAAATTTTATGAATCTCTACATAGTTAACTTTACACTACCGCTGTTGAATATCCTATTGTTAGTAGAGCTAAAGTTGATACATTTAGTAGATATTTATGGTAGGTAAACAGTAGGTCAGTATTTGGTTTGCTTAGTGTTCATATTATAATTATAGACCTCTTTTTATGGCTAAGGGAAGTACACTATTGGTGTGTAGTGTTTGGCAATATTCAGTTTGTATTTGATGTTATAATTGATGCTGACTTTATTAGTAGCTTTATTATAGCCAAGGTGAAATAGCTGTTGCTGTTCATTGGTTTTATTACCAATAACTGTAATGCCTTGGTGTCATTAACAATTCTGTGGCTCATTCCTGGCCAACTGGATACTGGGCAAAATATTCTAGAATTTCCCATTCCAAGTAAATGGGAGGTGGATGGAGCCTGGTCAGAGGCAAAGGTCAATAGTTAGCCGTGCCCAGAGAATACCACTGAAAAGTACACATGAACTAAGGAGGTCTCCATACTAAAAACAAAGCTTTCCTTTATAATCAATCCCCAACGTCAACACCAATTAACAAAGAAACAACAAAACTATGAGAACCAAAGCCAACAAAATGCTTCCAAAAAACACCCAACTCCCCCAAAGCTAATCCATGGGGCATCAAAGGGAGGAAACCAAAAGTCACACAATTGAATTATTTAAAGTGATATCATGAGAGATAAAACAGATCAATCAGGCATTTGTCAAGCTCAGAAGACATAACTGAACAGATATTGGACCATACAAACAAAATGATCAGCGAGTCTACAAAAGACACTAATAAAAAGCTAGCAGAAGTAAACAAAATGATGCAAAAACATGAAAGACCAATCTAGAAAAGAAATGCAAATATAAGTTCAGGAGATTAAAAATTCTATTGAAAGTATGGGCAACAATATGAGGACAGAATGTCAGAGCTAGAAGACAAGGCTGTTGTTGGTGACCAATTAATGAGATAACTTAAAAACCACAATGTGACAGGTAAAATGGATCCAACAGTTCCTAGATGATCCAAAGATTAATGTAGAATTAACTGGAATTAGTGAAAAATCAGAAGTCAGAACAAATGACATAAAGAATTTGTTTACTATAATAATAGAAAATTTTCCAAACACAGAGAAAGAATTTAACACATAGGTAAGTGAAAACATATAGAACACTTAAGGAATATAAAGAAAGCAGTCTGAACACATGATCAGAAGAGAAGCTCTCCATGACACATAATCTAAATCTCAAAAGTCCAATATAAGAATCTTAAAAGCTGTTCAGAGAAAAGCAACAAATCATTTATAAAGGAAAACTCATTAGAATTATAGTAGATTTTTCAACAGAAACCCTAAAGACTTAGACAGAAGTCTTTCAAGCCCTAAAAGAAAACAATTTCCAACCCATGCTCACATATCCTACAAAAGTAGCTTTCAAAATTAAGGGGAGAAATAAGATATTTTCATGATAAAGAGTACCTATGGAACTTCATGAACAACAAACCAGTATTCAAAAAAAAAAAAAAACTCAAGGATACAGTAGAAAGACACAATGAAAGAGAACAATAAAAACGGGTCTAATACAATGAATATACTAGGCAGGGTGAGCAGTTAAGTAGAAGGGAAAGATAGGAAACCAGTAACGGGAAAATAATGCAATGACAGGAATAAGTAAATACCTTGTAGTAATAACTCTCAATGTGAATGGTCTCAAGTCTCCACCAAAAGGAAGAATGGATAAAAAAGTAAATCCAATGGTATGCTGTATACAAGAAACACAGTTAATCCAGAAAGAAAGTCATAAAATAAAAAATCAAAGGAAAACAATATTCTATACAATGAGAACCTGAAAAAAAGCATGTGCAGCTATCTTATATGCAGACATTGTGGATTTTAAGCCAAATTTGATAAAAGAGGCAAAGAAGATCACACATATGGTATTGGTTAAGGGCACAATCCAACAGGAAGAGATAACAATCATTAATACATATGCACTGAACAATGGTACACCAAACCTCAAAAACAAGTACTACTGGATATAAAAGATCAAATAAACATAAACACAGTTATACTAGGGGACCTCAATACCCCACTATCACGAGTAGACAGGTCAATCAGACAAAAAAATCATCAAAGAAATATTAATGAGCTGTGAAACCTTCAAACAAATGGAATTAATAGATATCTGCAGTATTCCATTCAACAAGAACAGAATACACATTCCTCACAGCAGCACAGGGAACTTTTTTCGAAATAGACCACATACTAAACAATACAGCAGGCATAAATGTAAAACAAATGAAAACCTAACATGCATATTATCATACCATACCAGGAAACCAGAAATCAACAACTAAAGCAAAAACAGAAATCATGCAAACACATGGAAACTAAACAGTACACTATTAGTAAATTAATGGGTTATGGAAGAAATAAGATAGTTACCAAAATTAAACAATAGGGCATGTTTATAATCCCACCACTGGGGAGGCTGAGGGAGGAGGACTGCTTCAAGTCTGAGTTCAGTCTAAACTACACAGTAAGACCCTGTCTCCAAAAAAACCAAAACCAAAAAACCTCAACAAGAACAAAAAAAACTA